GCCTGTGCGATGCTCCAGCTGCTCCTGGAGGATCGCGCAGGCGCCGTATGCGTTCTGCGCATGCGTGGAAGAGTAGAACTCGTCAAAACCGGGTAAGAAACGCGGGCGGGCGGGTGAATCCTTCGGCGTTCCGTTCGCCAACCAACCGGTTCACGGGGACCGCCGCGAACCGCCTGAAACCCACCCCTGATGTGCACCTTTCCAAGACATTTGCAGAGAAGGCAGTGCCATCTTTATCTAATCATTGTCATTGAGGGTTACCAACCCGACGTGACATCTAGCACTTATGCTTCATTTGGCAAAGTGGTGCTCCATCCTGACTCATCTGTCCTACCTCCACAAATACAGCAGATTTTAAACTGGTTATTTGAATGATATCTCTGCATTCATGCTCTTCTTCCATCTTCCCAGCTAAGAGTGATTCATTTACTAATTCTTTTGAAAACAACGTGATGAGGATGAACCAAGAATTGGTTCAAGGTAATGTTGGTAAGTGGTAAAGATTCAGACTCTCTTTAATTCAGCTCACCTGCAAGATGTTCCAGAAGACTAGATATCGGGTATCCAACTTTGGCAATTTTAAGATTGGTGGACTTGAACTCCCACAATTGTGAAATCAGGATGGCTGGGGAATTCTGGGTGTTGAAGCCCATAAGTCTTAAAGTTGCCAAGGTAGGACAACATCATCAATATGAAGGACGATATAGTCACTTAAACCCAGATGAAATCAACTACTATTCAGCATTATATGAATGAGCCTTGGACTGATGTGCTCCTTCATTAGTGATGAAGAGATGCTAAGTTTTATGTCTGATTTTGCAAATAAGTCAAGACCTAAATTGTTAACAGTGGATTGTTTCAGTAAATTACAATAATAATAATAAGTCATAAAACATGTTAAATCATCAATACAGGTAATCCTCGACTTATTACCACAATTGAGTCCAAAATTTCTGTTGCTAAATAAGACATTTGTTAAGTGAGTTTTCTCCTATTTTATGACCTTTTTTGCCACAAGTGAATCACTGCAGTTGTTGTGAGTAACACGGTTGTTAAGTAAATCTGGCTTCCTCATTGACTTTGCTTGTCAGATCACAAAAGGAGATCAAATGAGCTGGGGCCTTGCAAATGTCATAAATATGAGTCAGTTGCCAAGTGACTGAATTTTGATCATGTGACCATGTGGATGTTCAACAGTCATAAGTGTGAAAAATAGCCATAACTAACTTCGAACAGTCACCAAATGAATTGTTACAAGTCAAGGACTACTTGGAATATTTTTAAATGGAGGTGAGGGGAGCATATAAAGTTAGATGCTATTGTATAATATTAAAATCATGCTAAGAGATCATTATGAGCTAGAGCAATTGCTATATCTGACTGATAGCTATTAATATCCTATCATTATATACCAACTGAAACTTGGGGACAAGAATTAATGTTCTATAGAGTTCTATAAAATTCTATATTCTGTATTTTATATTCTATAAAAATATGTAACTTGTAACTCTAGAGTTTTTTTGCTTCATAGTGAATAACTGGACTTTCTGGCAATCTATATTTGCAATCTGTATTTTCAAGAACAATGAAAAGTGTCATTTTGATGTTAACAGTTTTGGGTTTAAGTCTACAACTGACATCTATTTTATTTGGGGGGGGGATTGTTTTCTGCCTGCTTCTTTGGATTTGGGCAAGAACACTTTAGTTGATAGGGTACAAAATGGATTAACCCTCAACAAACAAGTCAGTCTGGGTACAGTAATTCATATAATGCATTGACAATCATTCCAAACAAACATTGGGGCTTTTCATTCCAATTCTAATTGTTTCAATTAGTCTGAAGTCACAAAATTGGTTTGCTTATTATTATTATTGTTTTTAAATTCCTCCAAACTATAGACATATGAAGAGAACATGACTCTGTTAAACAGCGGGCAAAATGTCCCTCTTTGTTGCCTTTGTCTGGAACTAATTAAGGAGTGGAGGAGGAAGTTTGAGGGAGGGTCAGTTAAATGCCTCTCAGACATTAAAAAAGACAATACTCTGATAGATACGTTTACTGCTATTTTTAAATGATTTGTTATAGATTTGTTTAAAGTGCAAAGATTCTGGTATTATCTGTACTGAACTTGCTACTTGTTGAAGTATGTCAACTGCAAAACCATGGCTTCCCTTGATGAGCTTTGAAGACAAAAAAATTATACACACTGTGTATGTAAGGAAGACATCTGAAGCCAAGGAATTGCTAAGGAACTGTATTTTTTGCTACTGTGAACACTGTTTACAGTGTAGGGCTGTTCAAAACTATTTTTTCATTTTATAATTCTTAAAACAAGTGAGGGGGTAAAAGGCAACAATGCAAATTTATCAAGAAACTTTCTGCAACAATAAATATAAATTATCCATAATATTAAAAAGCAAGAGCAGCAACTCCACAGATCATACATGCAACATATCAAACTTATAATAAATTATACAACCTTAATAAATAACCCGCAAGAACACAAACAGTATTATACAGACCTCATCATAACGGTACATTAGTTTCAATCCACGACAAGACTTCTGTTTTTCTACATGCCGCAGGGCGCATTCGAGGCAGAAGACAACATTTTCATTTTCCTGTACAACCTGCAATTTTTACAAACGTAGGTTGAGAATACTAAAAAGCTACAGGTCATATTGAATGTCTGCGTTTCAGCTGAAGCCTTAATGTAACTTATCCTAGATAGTGTTTAAAAACCATTTATAATTTCAGTAAAATTGAATTCAATGGGTTATGAAGTAGTTAACTGTCTTGTTTCAGAGCAAATATTCAAATACAAGCAAATATCTCCTATGGAGCAAATATCTCCATAGCAAAGTTTCTTTTTCTATCCTTGACAAGTCTGTTATTTTGGATGGCGGCGAATCAATTTTGAGCATCCCATTCATCAGTGCTTTCCGGGAGACTATAGAAATACATATCTTGCACTTTGTTGAAGTACGCACATTATTTTAGAAATTATTCTGTAGCAAGGAAACAATTGATACATTAAAAGACCAATAATTCTATTACAATTCTGTTGTAGCCTCTGCCCTCCTAAACAGCATCCCCCAAGAGACATGGATGGAATCCATTCTATGGAGGTTTGGAAAAGCTCTTAAACCCTGGGTTTGCTTCCACGCCTGGGATTAATGTGGTGACTGTTATATACAATTTTATTATGTCTTCTTTTAGTCTAGGCTGTTTTGTTTTGTCTGTGATTTTAACTATCCATTAAACTTTGCAAACTGCAGAATTGGGGTGAGCAATAGCAATAGCAATAGCAGTTAGTCTTATATACCGCTTCATAGGGCTTTCAGCCCTCTCTAAGCGGTTTACAGAGTCAGCATATCGCCCACCACAGTCTGGGTCCTCATTTCACCCACC